ACATGTCCAGAGTATAATCGCAGCCTTTGCGGTTAGAAAATTGCACTTGATCATGTCGCGATATTATCGCAAATGCGATATATCGTTCAGCCCTACATTAGACTCAGAGTTGTCTGCAAATCAGAGTGCCTGAAGGGGATTGTGGAGCAGGAGGAGATGAAACTTAACAACCAGGGAAATCTGGCAACTAGCCACCTGCATATTACCCTCAAACTTATTATGATTATACAGTTTTTAAAAAACTTTAAACTCCATAATTTAATAATCAATATTAACCCTTTAATATATAAAAAAAGAAACTGAACAGTTTTGATTCTTATATACTGAGACATGGGCTTATACATGAAGGTATGACTTCTAACTGACCACTGGATAATTTTTTTTCACTGCAAGAGTCAGAGAACATTCAGTGCTTGATGACAAGATGAATATCAGTGCCATGCTTGTAAATGCAGTGCTGCAGTCAGGACACATTCCAAGAAAGTTGGTGAGCGTCTAATCGAAGAAACAAAGAGCCACTGTCCTGGCAAAGTAACATGACATATCTTAAAAGCTTCAACCACACTGGAAGTCACGTGGTCACCAGAGACCATAAAAAGTGAATGCCATTTGACAACTTTAAGTGACTACAGGCAAAATGACTGCTGAATACTAGCTACTTCAATGTCATTTATATAGCACTAAATCATAACAGCTCTTTATATTTTAAGGTAAAGACCCCTACAAAAATAGAGAGAATACTCAAACAATCAGACAACCCACTATGACCAAGCACTTGGAAAGCAAAATCTCCCTATTAACTGGAAGAAACCTCCAGCAGAACTAGGCTCAGGGAAGGTCAGCCAAGAGAGACAGGACAAAAAGTGTATGCAAAATTTGATGCAAAGTGTGAAAACACACAGAGTAAAAACAGGTGAAAAAGATGCAGCCAGTACATCATCATCATAAGCTTAATCTTAAAGATAGAGAGATCGTCTGTCTCCCAAATCAAAACTGGGGACTTCATGATATGGTACTATGACGTCTTAAAGATGGGGCCTTGAGGCAAATGTTGTTGTGATTTAGAACTATATAAATAAAACTGATATGAAATTGAATTGAATTTTTCAAGACGTTGCATGTGACAAGAAGAATTTTAAATTTATTCAAATCACTTTTATTGTCACATCACATGTGCTCGTACACTGGTACAGCACATGTGAGTATAATTCTTGTGTGCAAGCTTCACAAGCAACAGAGGTGTGCAAAACACAATAGCATAAGAACAAAGCAAAATATAAGAATAGGAATCTGAGAATTATAAGAATAAATATATGTACAAATATAAGAATGTATGCGCATTACTGAATAAGTGTGTCA